CTATAATATATATATATATAATATATATATATATATATATATATATATTTATATATATAGTTGAATGTTGCGTGCTGACTAGACGCTTTTATCGGTTACGTGTGAACGGGCTGCTTCCCGAGAGAAACGACCTTGCCATATCAAGTGCAACTGATCAAGATCAAATTCAAATGTCGTTTGTTATATTCTCAATTAATTTAATGTGATACAATCCATTGATATCTGTATATCATATATACAGTGCACACTTTTTGCACTATTTATTAAATAATTTAAAAAATTACAGACGATCCACCGAGATGCTGCCGAAATCTGTTAGAATAGCACACGTTCGAAGGACCAGATATAATTATTGGCTGATAATATATAGTTCAAATAGTTGTTTATTGATAAAATTTGGCAAAAATGCTAAAGAATAATAGATGATTGATACGCTTCTTGTTTTATTGTTATAAAGATGTTACTTCTTTAAATGTTGAGTTAATGCTGATCTTACTAATTGTAAGTTGAAATTCAAGTAGATACAAAGATTTTATTATTTTATATTGTTTTTCCGATAATTTTAGTTTTGGCTACTAGCGACTGCCCATTAAATTCTTTAGTCAATCAAATACTGACCCATAATTTAGTTGAATCGGGTGCAACGAAACTAAATTTCTGAGAAAGACGGAATAGTATCTGAGGCACTATTTTTTATTGGCTTTGTAAACTAGTACATGGGCCACTTACTAAACTAATTTACAACTATAACTAAATACTTGAATATATCAATATACAGACGCATACATACGCATACACACACATATATAAATAAGCACACATACACATCTACACACACAATTTTTAACAAGAGAGACTATTTATGAACAATATGCATTATATATGGGGGATTATTTTATGTTTCGAAATATTAGGCCAAGGTTGATCTTCTGGCATTAACAGATGTCAATAATTTTTCTTGAAAATTAAAGGTTAATCATCTTAAAATGCACAAGGTGTCATTGTTTGACAGTTTATCCTAATAAAATCTATTAAATCTATTAAATAGATACTTATTATATGTTACAGTTTGATCGTTTTCTATAATAAATACTAAATATAAACTACTATTTAGTCATCTACTTAGCAGACATTTTAAAAGCTTCCGATAGTTTCCATATTTTAGGTGCTAAACTACAGGCTTGGAAAAAGTTTTTCACTTGACAAAGTTGTTAGTAGAATGTATGCCATAAAAAGCAAAAAATATCAGTTGTTTTGGAAGCCATAAATGCTGTTCTATGATAATGAAAAAGGTGAGTGAACCTTTAAATTTTCTTTTTAATCAATTTGAGTTTATTTTAGTTAGTTATTTATTATTATTAATTACGGGTTGCTTATGAATAAATAAATAAATTACATATTAATGCAAACCGAACAAAACTGAGCTCTATTTACATGTTTTGAGTCAATGTCATTCTTTTAACTCGGTTTTTTATAATGTTTGAATAAAAAAGTTACATCTTGGATGTTTTTTATTGCTTGTGTAGCAAGAGGCCACAATTACATTTACATTAAAATGTAAACATTGAACGACTAAAATATTTTATACGCTCTTAATATAATAATTAATATTATTTTTAACACAATAAACGAAAAACAGGAGTTAATCAAATTTTTACAGTTTTTATATATGTTTATATAAGTTTCTCTATTTTTTATGAATAATAATTTATCAAATTAATTAAATAATTAATTCTACTGATTTGTTATTAGAAAAGCAAAGTTATTTCATAATTAACAAACATTTACCAAAAAAAAAATAGAATATAGAGTTAAACGACCGAGTACTAAAAGTATAACTTGCTTTTTCTTTATTGTTACAGTTTTTTTTGACAAAGTTTTTAACTTGTTTTAATTAACAAAACTTCTAACTGTTTATATTTTCATATACATAAACCTAATATTAGAAAATAGTAAATAAGAAAAAAATCCATTTGAATGCATTTTGTAGTAATTTACTTTATATTCAGCACACCTGAAGCTCTGAATTCAATATACATAAAATAAAACTAGGTTCATTGGGAAAAATCTTTAGGTTTAATAAGATCTACAAACCCCTTAAGATAGTGTGCTCTAAAACATTTTCAATTATATCTAAGTGTTATGTAAAGATTTATGAACCTGACAATTACGACTGATTTATTAAAGAGTACAAACATAAAAAATAACTCAAATATCCACACATGCATATTAGAGAGAACCATAAAAATCATATTCAATCATTATCGTTATTCAGTTTTCTTATCGCTAATGAAAATGTCCGAAATAATTTATAACCAGCAATAATTCCTAAAGCACATCACTAAAATTTATAGCAAATGCATCGTTTTACTTTGCTAAAGAATTTGAAAATATTCAGCGATAAAGGAAAAACCAATTATTTGTAAATTTATTTTGCAGGAATAAGTGACTTTACATTGAATCCTGAATGACTAAATTTCCACTTGATATTTTACTGAAACAAGTGTCATTTGACAAGGAAAAGCCAGTTCTCAGCATAGTATTCATAGAACCACCTAAACATCATGGCCAAAAACTTAATAAAAAACCATGGCATTGAACGGCTCAGAAAAAAACGGCCCCTCTTTAATATCCTTCAGTAATCCTATATAATATGTATAATTACTTGTATTTAAATATTTTCACATCAGGGCTACATCTATAACATTGGCCATGAAGGTGACAATCTTCATGGCATTGAGATTTTGCACGGGATGGTTGCCCTGGTAGAGGGGCTAGCGGAGTGTTTGATGGAACTAAATGTGCACTTCTAAAAGTAAAGTCCGCGCAACAACATGTTTAATAAATAATAAATAAATATATCTACTTTCATTATAACTTAAATCAATGATTGTAATAAGAACTGCAACAAATACATAATAATAATATACATAATATAAGCTAAACATATCTAACATCGAATCGGATCACCATTGGGTGACCTTTCGGCCTTTTTAACTTCCCGTAAGGTAAGTTATTGTAATGGACCGAAAGTCGAAATTGAAAATTTTTATATTTCTCGACGTTTTGAAGGTTTCTGAACATTTTGGCATACCTCAGAAAAAATAGATGTGTGTGTGTGTATGTACGAGGTCTGTTCAAAAAGTTTTCGTAATTTTCGTTTTTTCAAAAAAATATTTATTTATTCGTCTACATTAATGTGGTCCCCTTCAAAGTAGTCCCCCCCAGATATAATACACTTATGCCAGCGTTTTTTCCAATTTTCGAAGCACCCTTGATATTCACTTTTTGATATGTCCTTGAGCACTCTCGGCGATTTTCTTCAATCGAGGAAAACCGCCGTCCTTTCATGGGTCTCTTCAACTTTGGGAATAGGAAAAAGTCACACGGAGCCATATCTGGTGAATTTTTGCACTTTGCAACACATTTATTTCATTTTTTACGCAAAATTTAATACAAATTCTTTGACTTTTTCAATTCTTCCATTGTAAAAATCGCCGAGCTCAGAAAAACACGTCGAACCTTAGCGACTACCACAGACAAAGTAAACAGTGAATATAGCTGAAAATTTCATCATACTTTAGGGGCATGTATACCAACACAATAAAAAAAAAATTTTGACAATCAAACACTCCAGACCCGCGAAATTTAATTATTAGTAATTCCGGGTACTTTTTGAACAGACCATGTATGTATGGATACAAATTTTCAGTCACGTTTTCGGGCGCACGGATCAACCGATTTGAATGGTTCAAAAAACATTCGATTCCTATTGATAGGGAGATGTGCTGATTAGTTTTTGGCAAAGGCAGGTCCAGCAGTTACGAGATAAAGAGCAGAGAGTGCAGAAAACAGAAATCGAGTTTTTGAGAGAACGGAGCATTCGATTTGAGTGATCTAAAAAACATTCAATTAGTAATGATTGGGAGAAGTGTTTATTAGTTTTTCAAAGGCAGGCCCAGCCATTTCGAAGATACGGAGCTAAATGTATGAAAATGGCAGTTTTTGAGAGAACTAAGAGTCCGATTGATTCAAATAACTTTCTGCTTGTCTTAACAAAATAATTGATTTTTTGAAAAAAAAAATTTTTTGTTTCAACTTTTTTTTCAAAAAAAAATTTTTTGTTTCAACTTTTTTTAAAAAAAAATTTTTTTTGTATATCGAAAATAATTCAGATTTTATTTTTAATTCTGACTATAGTTCCAATATACTTTAAACAAATAATTTCAACTTTGCAATTCAGTTTATAGAATTCTTATAAATATTTGACAATGTTACAATATTTATTTATAATAATCTATATGAAAACATTCAAAATTCCTCAAACATTTCGTTTCGGTACGGGAAGTTCCTGCAATTTGCCTCAAGGCACGATGCCATACACCCCACTAGTTTCCTTATTTAATAAACCATTAAAATTACTGAATACTGTTTATAACGACAGATTGTAATTCACAAACGTAAATAAAAAAGACATAGTATCCACAATGATTATTGAATATATTCTCTTGATCAATTGCATCAAAATGGGTTTTCCTTGAGATAAGGTCTTTATTCATTTTAGAGATTTAAAATCAGTCTATACAACGTGAGAAAATAATTATCCTTTAACGGAATTACGAAAACTACAATTTAGACAATTAGGACATAACCAAAAATAAATTTTTACTTCATAAGAGCAAAATTTTTGCAGCAGTAACTTACCATATCGAGAAATGACAAAAACAACTTTTCACAAGAATCATATTGTACTAAGAGCATAGTTCTAGTATATAATAATTCATATTTCACTCATAATTCACATTCTATTTTACAAAAATGCACTTAAGTGTTTGCCTTTTGTTTTACCAACCGTTGTCAAATTAAATTTAGATTGTTTATGTCAGATGTCAGTAATATTTTTATTTACATTGGCATCACTCAGTAGGTTCAGTTAACAAACCGTTTAATTTTATAGAATATTTAACACAATTTCGTGCCACAGTGTTCAAACTATATTACTAAATTAAATGTCCGAAGCACAGTCATCGTTGTTACTAAAGAAGCAATTAGCAGAGTTGAGCAAAAACCCAGTCGAAGGATTCTCGGCGGGCCTAGTTGATGATAATGATATTTACAAATGGGAAGTTCTCATCATCGGACCTCCAGAAACGTTGTATGAAGGTGGATTTTTCAAAGCTCATTTAGATTTCCCTAAAGAATACCCGCTGAGACCGCCGAAAATGAGATTTGTGACCGAGATCTGGCATCCTAATATCGAAAAAAACGGTGATGTATGCATATCGATTCTCCACGAACCTGGTGACGATAAATGGGGATATGAAAAAGCATCAGAACGCTGGTTACCTGTGCACACGGTCGAAACTATTTTAATCTCAGTGATTTCTATGTTGGCTGATCCGAATGATGAAAGTCCGGCCAATGTGGATGCAGCAAAAGAATGGCGGGAATCTTACACGGAATTCAAAAGAAAAGTAGCAAGATGTGTCCGGAAAAGCCAAGAAGATTGCACCTGAAGCTTATGGCATATGTACGTGATCTAACAATTTTTCAATAGCTAAATTCCAAGTAGATACATATACATGTGAAAATAAATAAAACATTGTCAATGTAAGCCATTGATTATATTGCAAAAACATATATTATAATAACTATATTTTATATTAAGCATATGCTTTTTCATACAAGCCAAGTCTGACAGAAGCAATCTAAACTTTGTACAACAATAAAAAAGTTATTACTAAACTGCGTTAATTATATTCTTCGTCAAGAAGTAAATATATTTAAGTAAGTACATATTTGCATTAATAATTTTATCAATTTTCAGTAGCATAACTAGATTTCACATAAAAATTTGAAAAAACTTTAGGTATTGCCATAATTGCCAAATTACAAGCATTTGATCATTATTGGCAGAACTATTTTCAGTAAAAAATCTCCGAAATGAAAGTAAAAGAATCAGTAGAGATAAGCTCATTAATTAACTTTGATTGATGAGTATACTTATCATTAATAAGTTATAGAATTTTTGTGTAGACGAGTATATTCGTCATGTGTATAAATCCTTAACGGTTTAAATTGTAATTTTTGGAAAGAAAAACAAATCACATTCTCAAATTAGTAGATATTTAGAGTATTTTAAGCAAAGGGGGCGTCTAATAATCACTTTTTTAAGCATTTTTAGACGCCCCCGCCCTCCTCCTTGATGATACGTAGAGATATTCAAAGTTACCCTACCTTTACCACCAAAAATAACGTAATTTTTAGTTACGAGAAAAAATTGTAAAATATTTGAACTCCTTTGAAAATGTTTGGATTTAAAATCATTTTACTTTCACTTCTTTAAAAAATAAATACACGTGACATCATACAATACTCCTCCCTCCCAAACGTGATATTTCGTGAGTTTTTGTCAACAATTACTTCGATTCTGGTGACAGTTTAATGAATGCGCCACAGTTATCTGGTTAAAACTATGAACTAATTTTTATATTTTATCGAAAAATAACGTAATATCAAAGTTTCATAGTTACGCATATAAATTTTAATTAAAACAGTGTTTTACAACGATTGGCATTTAGAAAATAAAGGTCAACTGCAACGATCTATAAAGTATGACATTATCAAAGCTTGAAATTTATGATTGACTAAAACCACTGGAATGTAAAAAGTATTCGATTAAAAAGCCAAACTCAAAATCCATTTAATATTTATTTAATTAAAAAACAAGTTTATAAAAATTCCTTATTTAAGTTAAAAATGAAATAGTGGACTTTTTTGCTCCCTGGTTTTCACTTTTTACCCCGGGGACTATATAGTAAGTAGAGCCAAATGATAAATTTTAGAATAATAGCAAAAAATATATATGTATAATCGCAGAGAATTTTATACAATGTATTTTATATATTATTTAATTTGTGTTATTTGTTTTAATGTAGTTGGTTTGGTTTTCATTATATAATTGCTGAAAACAAATTGGATCTTTGTGTCCTGCTCTACCCTACATATAAATTATATTTTCAATTTACGCAAGAAAATATTCACATAATTATTGAAAAACTTCAGTAACTCTGAACTATTTAAACATTTAATACTTAATATAATAGTCAAATGTATGATATAAAAATCAAAAATTGATTTTCAATTAAATAATATTATCACTAGTATAATCATTAACTCTTGTATTTAACAAGACTTACTCAAATTAAACATTTTCTTTAAAATACCATCTCCGTGTGTCAGAACCAATTTCAAAATAGTTACTTACCTTACGGAAGTGCACATAAACTTCATTTAATTTCAGAAACTAATCTAACTTTTAAACTAATTTGATGTACATGAAATTTCATAGTAAACATTCCTCAACTCAGTACTACCACAGCATAGCTATCATATAATAGTTTAGTTGTATATTAACTTTATCGGAAATTATTATATTTAATATGGAGTCTGAATTAAAATTCTATGTACATTATGATGTGATACGATTTTATTACCTTAAAACCTATATGCAATATGCACCAGCTCCAAAATATCATTCGGGCATTCATTCTGATTGCTGTTGAAACAATAAAAAAAAATTCTTTTATTTATTCTATTTATTATATAAAAGGCAATTTGAAATAATAATATAAATCCAGTAGTAAATTAATTTCAAGATCTGCTTGCTTCTAGGCTATCATTTCTCGTTTTCAAAATTGTTAGAAAACTTTATTGTTAACAAAGTAATTAAGTCAATTGCTAATCGAAACTAATTTATGAAGAAACTTTTAGCAATATTTTTCGAGCATAATGCTTTTTGAGAATTGAAAAAATTCACTCATACATTTAAATAAATATATTCTTAGAATATTCTATTCTTAGAATAAAATGAAAAAGTAAATGCATTTCTGCAATTCTTGAGGATTTTTATAACCATCTCTTACAAGCTTTAATCAAGTAAATTTATTATTTTAATTATTTAAGTAAAATAATAGTAAATTTTTGGGACAAGTCAATATAATGTAGTATGAAAACTAAAAAAAAAATACATTATTTAATCGTTATTGAATTTTTTGTTAAAATAATATTATTTATTATAATAAAAGCATATAAACATTATAAAAAAACCGCGTTGAAAGAATGACATTTTTGAGAACTACTCAAAGTATGTAAAAAACCCTCAGCTTTTTTGATTTGCACCTACTAATAAATAATTCATGTTATTGAAAAAAAATATTGAAATAATCTACAATAGATTGTCATTAAACTTTATTGCAAAAGGTCAACTTTTTCATTATTACAGAAAACCATCTATGGTCTCCAAAACAAACGATATTTTTTTAGCTTTTTATGGCATTTTACATTCTGGTAAATGCTTTGTCTAGTAAAAAACTTTTTCCAGACCTTCAATTTCAATATATAAAATATCGAAAATATGAAGCGCTTTTAAAAGGTTTGCGAAGTAGAAAAACTACTATTAGTAGGCACTTGTTATAAAAAACGATGAAACGGTAACTAAAAAAATAATATTAAAATATTATAATAATAAAATAATAAATTTGATTACTACTAATAACTTGTACATCAATGAAATTCTTTCAGCTGAAAGATTATACGTGTTGAGAAATAGATCAAGTTTAGTTTCCAGTTCATCCTTTTAGTTATAGATCAAAATTGATGAAATATAAAACACGACTGTCTGCTGTCGACTATAAAGCCGAAAACATTCCTCAAAATATAGTCTTGTAATTTATAAGACTGCATTTTGAGAAAGTTTAAAAGTTGTTAACATTTTCAGAAATTATTTAATACTCTTCTGCAAACTTCGTTCCAAGTTAATGTGAATAATGTGTTCAATTGTGTGTATATATGTATAATGTATATATAGACATTCCTTGTACTGCATTACAATATATTACAACAGTATATAGCCGATTATAGATAATCGAATCAAAATCTACCTAGAATTGTTGTCCAACTCTATTAAATTCAGTCAACCATCCCATCTCTATAGAAAAGCACTTTCAGTCTCCAAAACAAACGTTACAAATTTTCCTTTTTATGACATTTTACATTCGGTTGTGACAACTTTGTCTAGTGAAAAACTTTTTTCTCGTCCGCCAGTAAAGCACACGAAAACATCGAAAATGTAACGAGCTTTTTGTCGTATAACGCCGCAGGAAAATTGCCGTCGAGAGTCTGAAAAGCATACATGGAAAATGGGGGTCGCAAACTTTACAGCCTAAACAAGGCATTTGTTTTACGTGTAACGTGTTCTTTTAGGCTTTACGATATATTCTTTAGAATAATGGGGAGGAGGATTGGTATATTTTCCTCTAACTTTTCCTAAAGTTCATATAACTCCGATGAAATCAACGGGGATAAAAATCCTATTTTTTTTAAGAAAGTAATTTCAAAAAATAATGTAACTCTTGCTGCCGATATAAAAGCAAATTCTGTCGTGGTAGTAATGAATAATTGTGCAAGTTTAATTTTAACTTCGTCAATTTTAACAGCACCAATTTTATAATTTCTAAAAATCATTTGATATAAGTACAGAAATTAATGTGTTTTAAATTGACAGCATAGAATTATGTTTTGTTGTGCAGCTTCTCTACAATTAACAAAAATACCTAATTTGATTCTGAATCTTTATTAGAATAATAATTCCTAATTCTTTATTCAAATAAATTCATGAAAAATTCATAAAAATTCTAATAATTGCAAAATAGCCAATTATAAATGAATAAATAAATAAATAAATAGGAAATGTGCTGAGTTTGTGATAAAGATCTTATGGTTAGGTTTTCTTACAAAATACTTATAAGAAAATACGGATATTGATATCAAACATATGAGTATGGATAGAATTCTGTCGATTAATTTAGGTTAATGATTTTAATTATTTTCTTGAATGCCCCAAAGTATGTTCCAATTGAGCTAATCTGAAAAAACGATCAACACAGTGGTTTCTAACCGGTGGGGTAAAGAAGGCGTACAGTTGCGTTGAAAATACTATTTTCGAAAATAAACTAAAAAAATTAAATGCCTGATAACTAAATTATAATAGTTAAGTATTTATAAAATTGTATCACTAAAAAATTAAGGGGAGCGCAAGATATTTTAATAGGAGAGCCGCGCGTTACTTAAAGATTGTGAACCACTGCAGTAAGCGATGAAAAGCAGACTCATTTCACAAAAAGCTGTCTCGAGGATCACCCAAGCTCACTTGCCAATTGGCATTTTTGAACAAGAAGCAGATTATAGGTTATATTAAATTCTGTCAATCTCAAAATCACCGACATTGGTCGAAGATTTTGCATTTTCAAAGCCCATTTTTTATTCACAATATTGTAATTGTTTAAAATTATAAGTATAATTGTAACAATTATAAATAATTTTGTTACATATTATTTACACAAACAGAATGCTCTATTTTATTTGTATTTTCATTAATGTTACTAGATATTATTTAGCAGTTATAGCAGATATTGTAATTAAAAAAATAACAATGCTACACACTATGGCAATTATT